CTGCCTTTGGGATGGGCAGGYGGCCAAGGGTGACATGGCCATGGCTGAGCCATTCTGCCTCCCCTGGGCACCTCTTTGGGATTTACCACTGCAGGAATCTTGCAGTGCTGGTGCAGGGGCAGGAGCATTCTTTGGAATGTCAGAGGAAAGCAGGGATCMGTCCCGTTTCCAGCAGCCACGTATWTCCGTGGCATCTTTCTAGTCTCAGGGCTGTTTCTTACATTCTTGGATAATGAAGTTTGGGGTTTGTTTTTCTTTTCTTTCAAGCTCGACAAAGCCAATTTGATGCACTTTGAAAAGAAATTGAAAACAGGCTGCTCTGCTTCAAATTCTGCCAAGGTTCAAACATCCTGGGAATACAATGTCAAGGATAACCCTCCCCCACCTCACCCCCAACTACACTTAGAAAGTTTTATCTCCAAGCATCAAAGCTGTACAGCTCTCCACCGTGCCTTCAGTGCCCAGGCCGTGCTGTATTTTCCTCTGATGAGTGAGAGTATACATTATTTACTTATTGGCATCCTGGAACAAGTAGTACCTCTCTTAAGCCTTTTTATGGCTTTTGCCTGCTGGGAAAAGGACCTAATTTCAGGCAGAGACGTGCTGTGCTGTCAGTATGTCAGCCCGGCAGAGCAGAGCTGTACGTATGGTTTGCATTTCAGGCTGAATCGAAGCCATAGCTTCAACTGCAGCATTTTTTTTACAGCATGGGCTCAGAGAAATACACTTTAGAAAAGTATTTACCCAAGGCTTGTAAATACAGTATTATTTCTGCAATGTTTTATCACCTAGGTTATTATTAAATTTGTAGTATCAACTGCCAGAAATAACAGAGGCTGTGCTTGCACCTTTTTTGTTTCTTTTTTGTTGTTGATGTGGCAGGAAAACCCCGAAGGGTTCTGGGGAAGGGAGCCTGCCCCAGCCCTCACCCGGCTTCACAGCCCAGGGTTTCAAGTTCAGGGCGGGAGAGCAATGAGCTCTAACTTAYGGTTCTAAACCCGAGCTCACTGACAAGGAAGACCAAGGGGGTTTGGACAATGATGATCCCTTAACCACTTGGATAGTAAACTGTCTTGACATTAAAAACCCGGCAATTGTTGCCATCCAATTGGGGTGCTCTGTTCTCCGGCTGTGGGTTCCAAAGGATTTTTCCTGCGGTGTTTGGAAGGTTTTCCATGTGGCTCCCACATGCACTCCCCCCAGGATGCTGGGATTTTTGGCAGGCAGGCTTTTTATGCACTCGGGTTTGGTATAGGGAGCCAGAGGGTTATCATCAGCTGGATGACAAAAACAATCACCCTGAAAATCCCCTGTGCAGAAGAAAAGGGTTATGAGGGGTTTTGGTGAGAGTGGGATGGGCTGTGTCTCTCCAGAAGGGTGGAACAGGGGAGGTGCTGGGAAAACATGCCCAAGAAGGCACGGATTGGGAAAGGATTTGGCTGGATGCTGATGGGAATACTGAGATTTACAGTTAACCCTATCCTTCAGGGTTAATTCCATAGATATCACTGCTGTTAATTCAGCATACTTAGAGGCCAGAGGAACAGATTGTGAGGCACTTACAGTGATGATTCGAAAGGAGTGTGGATATCAGGATACCAGGATGAGCCTTTTGTATGCCAAAGTTATTTTACTATGGTTAAACCAGGATTTAGACAATGCACTTCCTCTAAACTCTTGCTCAGAAGGCCAGACGTGGATTGCAGGTGTTTGGGAAASAATGTGTGCCTGCACTCTGCAGAATTTACTTAAAATTTAGGGCATGAAGGTTTTGAGCAGCTGAGCTTGGGTGTTGCCTGTGTCGCTTGGTGTTGGCTGTGGTTTCACAGCAAATCATTATCCTACCAAGTGGAGGGGGCTGGGGAGGAATCACAACCAGTCCCTTGACAGAGATCCCACTGCCCCTCAGGGKGCTGGGGGGTGCTCATACCCATCCCCTCCCCAGAAAAGCACCTAAGGCAATGATTTAGCCACGTACTTTGATGCCTGGGGCAGTTATTGACTAACCCTGCTGGTGATGTAGGACAGGACATCCCTCTCTGGACAGTCTCACCCTGGACTTGTTCCTTTTCACTCTGGGAAGAGATAAAACAGAGGTCCCCTGGCAGATCCCAAAGCCCTGCAGCAGACATCCCCTGGCTCCTGGTGTAAGCCCTGTCTGAACAAAGGATTCTGCCCAGCAGGTGTATTTTGCTGCACTACCTTGTAATTCTGGGAGAGAAGCAATTAGGTGAGAGCGATAAAGCTGAATCGCTCCAAGTGCACCATCAATAGCTCTTATAAACGGCATTAAATCTGCTCAGCCCTTGAAAGGGAGGCTGAGGCCAGTGAGTCAGTGCTTCCTCTCACCCTCCTGGGCTGATGTGTCTTTGCAAGGGATGTGGCTCCTCAGCAGGGGGCTGTCTGAAGCAGTGTCCCCAAGCAGTGTCCCCAAGCTGAGTGCAGGACACCTGATGGATTTTAGGATAGCGCTGTGTCAGCTCCTAAGTTCATGCACTGGGGTGGCCTGGGGCAGCTGCTCTTGGGGCAGGAATTGTGCTGGTGGTGGGTCCCTGCAGCCAGTGAGAGCCTGTGATCCTAAAAGCCCCATGTCTGGAAATGTTTCTGCTTGCCCAGCTGTTTTCTGGAAGTCATTCTGGCTGCTGGCTCTCACCTCCCCAGCTTTTTAGCTCTTTCTTTCAAGTTTCTCCTCTTATAAACAGTCTCTTATCCCTTCTTTGGCAATATATTGTCTGGCTGTGTCTGCCATGGATATACTTGTGCTTCCAAAATAAATAATTGCAAAAAAATGTATCCACTTGACCACTGCCTTGACTTTCAAAGTGGGTTTGAGCCACTTGGAAATGCCTGTTGAAAGCAGAGAAATGGTGCCAAGGTGCTTTTGGTGGCTCCAGCCTCCTGAGGTGTGTGAGGCTGCCCAAATCCAGGTGAATGAGGTATGGGAGCAGTGTGGCCCAGGGTCTGGGTTGGATGGAGAATCTCACAGTGCTGGCCCAGCCTAAATGGGAACATCCTGTGCTTGGGGCAGCCCCAGCACCAAGTGCATGGGATTGCTTTAGGTCAAGGGAGATTTATCAATTTAGCAGTGCAGGGASACTTGCRCATTGTTTGCTTGTAGCTGCCTTTMCAGCCAATGTAATTTTTGAAGTTGCTTCCCAGTAGAAAATACAACCAAAAGAGGAGAAAAAAAAAAGCTGTTTGTATAAAGGCATAGACACCAAAAGCTGGTAGCGCATGTCTAAAGGTGGTTCCTTCATGCTGGGAATCAGAATACTTTGTGTTTCACGCATAGCACAGATCAAATCATAGACCCATGGAATGGTTTGGGTTGGAGGGAACCTTAGAGGTACCTAATTTGAACACACCTGTCACAGGCAGGTGACCAGGTTKCTCTGAGTTTCATCCAACCTGGCCTTGAACACTCCACAGCTTGTCAGAGCAACCTGTTCCAATGCCTCAGCACTCCCACAGTTGAGAATTTTTTCCTTATATCTAATCTAAACCTACACTCTTTTAGTTTAAAGTAATTTCCCTTGCCCTGTCACTCCATGGCCTTGTAAGAAATCCCTCTCCAGCTCTCTTGTAGCCCTGTTAGGTACAGGAAAAGTGTTCTAAGTTCTTCCCAGACTCTCCTCCAGGCTGAGCAACCCCAACTCTCTCAGCCTGTCTTCACAGGAGAGGAGCTGCAGCCCGCCAGGAGTTCACACCCCTTTTTTAAAACACAGGCAGGCACAGGTCCTGACTGACATTGGAGCTGCTTTTGGTGGATACAGTGATGGGCAGAGCTCCAGAGGCCGTGTCTTGGCACACACTGAGATGTCCTGCAGAGGAGGATGTGGGGATGCAGGTTATGGGTTCAGTGTGCAACCAGGATAGRATCCAGTGAGGGTGCTCAGAGTAAGGGCTGAAATAAAAGCCTCTTAGGAACTGGAAAGTGTTCACTTCCAGACAGGAATTTGCTCTGGTTTGGTTTTATTTCTTCTTTTTCCCATCTCTTGGGTCTTTAAAGTGAAACATTTGACCATGAAAAATCCATTGCCCACAAAGTCATCCTGTAGCTCAGCGCTGCAGTCATGGCAGCCTCTGTGTGAGGAGTCAKCCCTTGCTCTGATTTGCCTCTGGAGGGACTCTGGCTGATTTCTGGCACTAATCATTGCCATAACCCTCCTGCTGCAGAGCTGTGGGTTCAGCTTGTGGAATCCATCTCCCAGGGATCACACGAGCAGAGGGGCTGCTCCTCTGAAGCAAACCCTATTGAGGACACTGCAGTRACTCCAGCATCCTTCTGTCCCCGCAGGCGCAGCGACCGTGGCGCAGGATGGCAGTGAAGCCCCCGGCGGCTGTCGGGATGCTGCTGGCCCTGGCTCTGCTGGCTCTCATCCACCTGCCCCCATCCCCAGACCGCTCCCCGCTCCTGCTGCCAGCCCCGTCCCCACCAGGGTCCCCAAGGGAGGTGGCTGCCCCCCTGCCCGGAGGACAAGCCCGCAGAAGAAGGGTCCCCGTGGCCCTCACTCCCCTGCATCAGGAGCAGCCCCCCGGCCGGAGCAGGAGGCGCCGAGGGGTGGCCAGGGACGCTCCCCCGTGGCTCTCTGATGATGACCTCCAGAAGATGCGGCTGCTGGCCACGGGGCAGGTGGTCTCCAAAACCCGTGTCCCTGCCCACGGGCAAGTCCTGCGGGTGGRGCTGCGCGCCGTGGGCGATGCCCAGGGGGGCGTCTCTCCAGCCAGCCCCGAAGGGGACTGCCAGGATGGGCGCTGTGGGCTCATCAARCGCCCCGGGGACCTGTACGAGGTGCTGGCATTCCACCTGGACAGGGTGCTGGGGCTGAACCGCAGCCTGCCCGCCGTGGCCCGGCGCTTCACCAGCCCCCTCCTGCCCTACAGCTACACCGACGGTGCTCTGCGCCCCATCATCTGGTGGGCTCCCGACCTCCAGCACCTGCAGGATGCCAACAATGACCAGAACTCCTGTGCCCTGGGGTGGCTGCAGTACCAGCAGATGCTGCGGGCCCACAGACCGACGCTGGTGGCCGGGGATGATCCCTGTTCCAACATCCCACACAGCGAGTGGAGCCGCCTGGCCCTCTTTGACTTCCTTCTCCAGGTAGGGCTGGGGTGATCGGGGCCACCTGGGGTGATCAGGGCCACCTGTCCCATCATCTGTGCCACTCGTGTCCCCCTGTGCCTGCATTGTCTGACCGTGCTCTGCTTTTGCTCTCTGGGGTGACACAGGCTGTGGTTTCTTGGGATGTGGAACTTCCACATCTTGGGATGTGGTTTCTTTGGGATGTGTCAGCTAACGGGGAGCAGCAGAACATTGTGCAGAAGCGATTCGGCCRCAGTGTGATCCGTGTTTGGGATTTGCAGGGGAAGCACAGGCAGGTTCCAGACGTGGCAAGTCTGTCCTCATGTGGGTGAGCTTTCTGCTGCTCATTTCATGCAGATGATGGCAGAGGCTTGAGACAGCCCTGGAGACATCCTTAGGGCATCCCTAGGGACAGGCAGCACGCTCTGCATCAGCCCCATCACATCCAGCCTCAGGGATGTGCTGCTGGCACTGGAAACAAGGAGCCCTGCCCCTCTGGACAGCACTGCTTCCTCCTCCTCGGCATTAAAGGGTTTAATCTTCTGCATGGAAAATCATACCCTGCTGCTACGAGGGATTACAACAGCATCCCAGAGAGTTATCAGTTCTTGGAGGGCAGCTATWAGGAGGCAAAAGTGATTCCTATGGAGAAAAAGAAAGCCTGTTTAGGCACCTGGGGGTTGGAGCTTTGGTTATCAGGCAAGAGAAAACTGCCTGAAAGGGCAAGCATTAGTATACGAAAAAGAAAGAAGGGAAGAAAGAAAAAACACAAAACTACTAAAATATGTCCTCCTTATTCTTTCTCATTTTTATGGTGGCTTTTGTTTTTTTCTTTTTGTGAAGCCTGACCATTAATCTTTGTAACCTCAACTACGGCTGGCAGAGGTGGAGCAGTTCTAGAYGGCCTTGGAAATATTTTAGCTGAAACAACCAGAGAAATGAGAAGATTAACCAATCCCTTTCCCTTCCCCAGGCCAAAATGCTGCTGAGTGCAGTGAAAAGGCCAAGACTCCAGGAAAAAGTATCTAGTACTAAGGAGAGTTCCTCTTCAAGGGCTGAAGCAGGGCAATGATAAATCCAAGGGCAATCCACAGGTTCTTCTCAATAATTCTAATGGAATCCTCCCATGCAGGAAAGTCACATAAAGGTAAAGAGTCTGCAGGATATTGTAGAAGTGGGGTGGCATCTTTCAGAAATGGCTTTAGCATCTCATAGCCCTTGCTGGGGAACGAGAAGTTGCAAGATGTGAGCCCTGTTGTGCACTGGCATTGAAATGTTGGTGGTTTTCTTCAATTGCTCTTAAAATTGCACTTCTTCTGTGTTGATTTCTCTGGTTTGCCATAAGGGACCACCCCTTCTACGTGCAGGGTTTTACTGGGGGAAAATTGCCAAGCTGAGTAGAAAGGGAGCAGCTGCTGATGGCTTTGTCCTGTGCTTTAAGAAAAGCCAAAACCAAACAAACTCTGCAGCCACAGCCCTGCCCTGGGACACCCTCTTCCCAGCCAGGGGGAGAGCCAGGAAACTTTCCCTAGGGGAAGCCATCCTGGRCTGAATCATAACTGGAAAAGCCTATCAGATGCAAGGGGATGCCCCAGAATGGGCATAAGAGGGGCTGAAGGGGAGCTTCTCATAGTGTTTGAGCTTAGATGGGAGCAGGTGTGGTTCATGGATTTGTGYTCCAGCAATAACACCAAACGTGAATTGGAGCTGTTTAGACTCTGGAAAGAAAAAATTAATACCAAAAAATCCAGGGGAGGGAGGCTTGTCAGCATGTCAGGGTGCTCTGAGCATCTCCACAGCCATCTGGTCCCTCTCCTGGGGCTCCACTYGAACACCACGTCCGCCTCCTCCTCACACCTCTGCGGGTCCAGCACCAATCCACCTTGGTTTCACAGGTGCTCGTGGGCGGGTGAGTGCAGCTCTGAGCCTATTTAGTGTCTCTGTAAGTTATCTCAGGTTGTCTTCACCTTCTGTGTAGCCTGCAAAATAACATAGCAGGTGAGAGAAACCGGCGTGCTGGGCTCTCCAGTGGGCAGACCAAGGAGATGTGTGGAGGAAATGTGATATTTTGTTCTGTTTCCATGTGTTTTGTGTCAAGATGYTCAAGCACATTTAACTGGAGTGACTCCCGAAGGAAAAATACCGACCTGAGTGCTTCATTGAACCTCAGGAAACAGAGATGTTTAGGAGGCTCCCGTGTGGGACTAATCCTTCTTCTCGAAGGGTTATGAATGGAATGGCCATGGAGATCACAATTGGTGTTTCCTGCAGCATCTTGTCCAGTGCTTGGTCAGTGTTTGGGTTCAGACTGAGCTCTCTCTCAAAGCACAGCCTGCAATGGGAAACTTGTGCTAATTACCAGGGTGAAGGGAATGGGCAGCCACKGTGGGTCACTTGGCTTCTGTCTCATTGTCACCTGTGGATCCCCTCTGGCCCACATGAGACCTGCTCCAGCCCTCCCAGTGGCTCCAGGAGCCTCTCTGCACCCCGAGCCCTGCCTCTTGGGTTGGCACCAGCAACATCAAGCAAATCAGCAAGTCAGACATTTTCATAGCTCAAACAGAAAATACGTTTATTATACATTATAAATACATGTTTATATATTATATATATTTAAAGGACCATATATATTTTTATATATGGTTTTTTTTTTTTTGCAAACAGGTCTCCAGAGCTGGAGGAGGTGAGGCACGTTCCCTTTGTGGTTGTGTCAAAACAGAATGGGGAGATCTGTTGACAGCCAACRGGGTCCTGTCTGCCCCACAAACCASCCCASRGGAKRTACCAGCTGCTTTTGACAAAGCTGAGAAAGCTCTGTAAATACTGAAGCCGGGTCTGACAGAGATTTATGCCTTTTAAAAGTCCTTCATTCGTTCCTCCAAGGCTGTGGTTGAAGCACTGGAAGCTGCCGAGCAGCAGCAGGGTTTCTGCAGGGARCTGGGATGGGAAGCAGGAAGTTCCACAGCCTGGACAATATGGAGTCTTTGCAGCACCTGCARATGATTAAACACAAATGTAGCAAAAACAAGTCACTGTGGCCCAGCTCAAATGTCAGGCATGCTCTGCGTATGCACAGACCGCTTTTCCCCTTGCCGATGCTTTTCCATTCATCTTTCCATTGAGAGCTGCTCAGGTTACCATAGGGATGGATGAAAGTTTGCATATGTGACAGGAACCAGATGAAACCATCATACAGAGCACAAAGACTCAGAAAAAYAGATTCTTTTTGAGGTTTCAGACTCTAGGTTTCCTTGGGTGCTTTTGTTGGTTTTTTATTCATTCATCATTGCGTACATCTTCCCTTCTTTTCAGCTGGAAGCACAACCCTTTTGCTCTGTGCAAATACAGAATGGGGAGGTAGCAGGTACCTGAACTCCATCAGAAAAGCCTGTCACCATCACCTTTGTCATCACTCCTTTGTGCCAAAGGGCACGAAGTCAGCTTTTGCAAGTCAGCTCAGCACCTGCTGCTTCCCTTCCTCTCTCTCACCAGTGTGCGTGTCTTTTCCTTTGCACGTCTGCTGAGGATCCCTGGAAAAGCTGGATTTTCCTCTGTACAAGAACAGCTCACAATAACACCTCCCCATCCCAGGCACATTTCCCTGTTAAGGTCCCCAAATGTCTCCTGCAGGTTCACGACCGCCTGGACCGCTACTGCTGYGGGTTTCAGCCTGATCCCTCTGAGCCCTGCGTGGAGGAGATGCTCCACGAGAAGTGCCGGAACCCAGCAGAGCTGTTCCTGGTGCACATCCTGGTATGTCTTCCTGCTCCCCAAGGGCTGCTCTGGGCTAACAGGAAGCACTTGCAGGGCTGAGGTGGCAGCAAAGGGAATATAGGTGCCATGGTGATGCCGGATCCCTGGGGGGAGGTGTGGCCGGGCATGGAGGGGCCTTTGGCATCTGCTCTCCCCCAGATACTCTCGGGCTTTCTCACTGCTTTAAAAAGCAGCCTGAGCCCCTACACTGGTGACTGTCTGCACTGGGTGAACTCTGCTCCCCATCCCGCTGGCAGGTCCGGAGGAGCGCGCCGTCCCGCCTGGTGTTCATTGACAACGCGGGACGGCCACAGCATCCCGAAGAGAAGCTCAACTTCAGGCTCCTGCAGGGCATAGACAGGTGGGAATGTGCCCGTGCCGGGCGGGGCTGGGCTGGCACACACGGCATGTCCCACAGCCCTGTGCACGCTCCACTTCTTGCTGTCCCTGGCCACCCTGGTGGGACATCCCTGTGAATCAGAGCCACCTCCCACTCCGAACACGGTGGGTGGGTGGGCTCACAAAAACATCCCATCTGCCCCTACCCCAAAACTAAGTCTTTATTCTGCTCTGGGCGGCTGAAGGCAGGCTCCAAAGCCTATTTCCMCTCTTTAATTGGCAGCTGCACAAAAATAATGAATAATCAGGTATTTCAGCATTTCTTGCGTCGTTGCCCATGAGGCATTTTGGCATGCTGGAGGCCTCTTGCTTTGGAATCTTTTTGGATCCGTGTCTGATGCAGCTATCCTGCGTGCTCACCACGGGCAGAGTTCCAAGCAGGACGCTCCCCATCCTGCGTTCCTTTGGGTAGACGTGCATTTCCCCTTGAAGCATCTTTGCTCAAGCGCCCTTCCCTTGTGCTCAGCCTTCCTGGGATAACCCTTCTCTCCCTGTCTCCTCTGCAGCTTCCCGGCGGCGGCAGTGGCTATGCTGCGGTCGGGAAGGTGGCAGAGCCTGCTGCTGCAGTCCCTGCGCCTGGACCGGGAGCTGTGGCACAGCCAGGGCGGCGCCGAGGGGCTGAGCCCGCTGCTCCGGACCATCGAGCGGCGGGCGCGGATCCTGCTGCGCCACATCCGAGAGCGCAGCCTGGAGCTCTTCCAGGACTCGCCGAGCTGAGCCCAACCCCGGCTGGCTCTGGGTGCCCGCCTTGCACATCCCAGCAGCCACGGATGGACCTCCTGTCCGCGGCATGGGTGGAATGAGGTGCCTGCTGGTGCTTGGCTCTCCACAGGGTGTTGTAGGATGCTCTGGAGAGGCAGGTGGAATCACAGGGAGTAGGGAGGAGGAGGAGGAGAYGTCTCCTAAGACAACCCACAACTGCTTGAGAAAGGYAGCAATCATCAAGTCATTGCCTCAGCATGGATTTTCAAAGGAAGGGCACATCCAGGGGGATTTTTGGGTGCCTTTACACACAGACACAAATACACAGCAACTGTGAAAACTGGAGGCTTGGACTACTGAGCAGCCTACAGGGACCTGGGAAGAGTTAAAGAAACAGTGGAAGAAGTCATTGGCAGCCTTTCCATGATTTGTGCTGGGCTTTTTGATGATACCCTCACTATTTCCAAAACATCCCAGGCAGAGAAGCAGGGGGAAAGCAGAGGKGAGCTTACTAAGAGGATTAATCAAAGACAAGACACTAGAGCTGAGTTCTGCCTTTCCCCCTGCAGAAGAGGTCTGTGTGCCTGGCAGTGGGTGTAAGGCACTGCCTGAAGCTGGGACCAGGCAGGACAATGGAGCTCAGCAGCACTGGGCAGCGCTGCCCTCCTGTAACCCATGGTGCCACCCCCAGGGAGAGCCATGTGCCATGTGCCATGATCCCTGCATGTGCCATGTGTCATGTGCCATGTGCCATGTGCTGTGTGCCATGATCCCTGCATGTGCCATGTGCCGTGTGCTGCGTGCCATGATCCCTGCATGTGTCATGTGCCGTGATCCCTGCATGTGCCATGTGCCATGTGCCATGATCCCTGCATGTG